AAAAAAAAAAAAAGAAAGGATTCCAGTTATGAGATCAAACTAAAGGTTATGGTTTTGATACAGGCGTTTAGTTAGTCTGATGATCAACATTGTGCTTCTGAGCTTAGCCAGAGGGTTCATAAGATTTGAATGTTGTTGCTGTTTCTTAATACAAAACTTCAAAAAATCTAAGTTGAAGAAAAAAGCTGGTATCTTCCATTTGATTGATCACAGGGAACAACGGCTCCTCCATAGAGCTCCTGAGACACTCTATAAAGTTTCTATTTTTCCTCATGGGAAAGGCAGTCCAAGCATTTACCTCTTGGTGTTCACCTGGCAAAGTGGACCCTCAGGGGAGCACTGTCACGTGGGAGAACTCTGGCTAGTAGGGCGCTCCCAAGCTCCTGTGAAGGGGAATGCTGCTCTCTCCTTCAAGAGAAAAGCCCAGGGAGGACAGCAGGATGAGTTGCCCTGTGAGGATGCTGGGTGGGGGGTGGGGGGCCGGAGGGGGGCTCCCCGCAAGCACTCATCACAGGTTTGAGGGTTATCAGCGGCAGAAAGTGAGCAGGAGGGCGGCCGAGGTAAGGGCCGGTGAGCACATTCAGCACTGGATCCAGGACGGCTGCTGGCTGAGTGTGCACATCACAAGCCCAGGCTGGGCCTGGAGGGCAGGAAAGGGGGCAGCGGCCATCCCGCAGGCCGCCCCAGAAAACAATGGCCGTGGGGCATTTTCATGACCGGTGGCTCAAAGCTGAGTTTCACTGAAGATGAGGCTCTTTCTATATCCAGGTGTGTATGCTCAGTAGGGCCCAGCACCCCACTTGGTTTGGGACCCAGCTATGTCCTCTTGCCTGGTTCCTGAAGGGGCTTCACTCAAAGGGAGACTGGAGGGGGCAGGCGGCCAGTGCTGTCCTGGCCACCTCTACTCACCGCCGTGTAGCCAGCACAGGGGGAAATTAGGACTCTGAGCTCTGCCAGTTCTCCTTCCGGGATGGGTCATTTCTCAGAGACACGGGAACACCTGCCCCGACATGCCCCTCCGTGGGCCCCGACACACCAAGCAGTCGCTTGCCTTCACTCACCTGCGGCCTTGGGCGTCGGTGGACAGAGACTCCAGGTGGAATATGTGGGCTTGCATCTCATGGTGAGAAATGGGGCAGATCTCATCCACGTCGAATGGGGAAATTTCATGGCGTCCTCCCTCATCTTTGACTTCAGAGGCAAACACTTTTTCAGCAAAGCTACGCATTGCTTCATCAATTTCTAAAAAAGGTTTTCATGGATTAGGACTTGAGCCCTTTCTCCACAGACGGCTGAGAGTTCTTGCAATGGGGACCCCCTGGTGGCCTAGGGGTCAAGTCTCAGTGCTATCCTGGCGGAGACCTGAGTTCAATCCCCAGGCCAGAGAGCTGACCCACGAATGGCACAGCAGACCTCTCCTGTCTCACCTGCTGACCCCCTCAGCAGTGAGTTTTAGCACACCTGCCCGTGCTGCTCCCCTCTGTGTCTCTAGTGATTTTCTCATCCCCAGCATTTCTGGCCTAGACCCCAGCTTTTCTATGCAAAAGCAAAATCTTTTAAAAAATAAAGGGAAAACGTTAATACCTACCTACCAAGCCTTACTCAAAACACCCAGTGAGGGATGGTATTGAGATGCTTTAGGGAAAATAAAACTTCAAATTAAGTTGAATGATGTCCGCATGCATCTGAAGGTGCTCCTCTTCCTTTGAATCACGGTGTGCATCATAGACAAAGGTTAGCACTAGTTTTAAAATTGAATGCTGTGACTTGGTAGCATCACATAGACCTTTGGTATTGGCATATTAAGGAGGTGATAAAGGATACATTTGGTGGAGGCCCAAGCGAACAAAGGTTACTGATTTGTAACTTTATCAGCACTAACAAGGCAGCCAGCTTTTAAAACCACACTGGGCTAGGCAGAGTTAACAAAGTTTCCCATGGTGGCTAATTTTCATGCATGGGTTTGCTTCCGAAATTCAAGCACTTCCTGAAACTGAAGCGCATCCTGGGGTGTTTTGACTGCTCATGGCAAGCACCTGGCCCACAAAGGAACAAGTAGCCCTCCGAGCAGATACATTTGATGGCTGAGGAAGCCTCCCTGGCCCCCTCACAACTGAGCCCCCCAAATAATATCCTTTTCTGAGCACCACAAGCAAGCACATGGCCCCTCCTGAAGGGCGAGCAGAGGTCAGAAGACTCCATGCAGGGCAGCACATACCGGCCAGTGGTTATGAGGGTGAAGCAATGCCCAGGCCTACAAGCCGGGACTCTGGCAAAGGTGCAGGGGGCCCCAGGAAGGACAATATGGCAATGGCTACCGAATCCCACTTGCCTCATGTCTGGGTCAGAACCTATCTGTTTTGTGTTTTTAAGCATTACTGTTTTTTTACTGAGACTGTGTATCCTAAGCCACTGTAGACTGTTAAAAAGTAGAGACTCAGGCTAACCCTGGTGGCGCAGCGGGTTAAAGAACAGCATTGAGAAGCTAAAGCCACTTCCGCATGAGTTTGGTTCCCGCCTGCCCCGGAGGTGACCACATGGCTTGGCAGACCTCTCCTGACCCGCCCGCTGCTCCCCTCAGCAGTGTGCTTCGTCGGTCTGCCTGTTCTGTTCCCCATTCTGTCTCTGGTGAAGCCTCTCACCGCCCCGGCACCCCTGGCCTGTACCCCAGTTCTGTATGCACAAATAAATAAATCTTTAAAAAAAAAAAAAGTAGAGACTCTCCAGAAGTAGTTCACTTGATACCACTATAGACCACTCACTTGATCACCAAAATGATATTATTGCTGTGGCCTGCCCTACTCATCAGATGTGTTGATTTCATAGTCATAGCTGAAATTTGACTCTCAGTTCTAGAACTTTGCCTTTCAAAAGTACTTCAGGGAGTGGCAATGCTTCTAGAAAGCAAGCATGAAACTGGTATTTACTGTTTTTACTGAAAATTGGTATTTCCTGAAACTGGTATTTGAGAAGATAAGCAGATAAGAGCTGATGATAACCTAAAATCACGGAATAAAGGGGCCAACCTCCCTTGGGTTTGCAGAGCTAGTCACCGGGTTCTTTAGTGAGCATTTGTTAAGTCTGAAAGAATGGGACAGCATCTGAGCTGAAAATGCCTCACAGGACGTGTGCACTGAGATAGAATAGACAAGAGGTTAAGTGTAAAGCAGAGATAACAGTGGAGCACAAGTGAGAAGTCTCTCAACAGCTGGGGGCCCCAGAGTTCACCAAAAAAGAGGAGTGTCAATAATAATGTCAACTTCAGATCACCGCTACACAGGCTGAACAAGACCACACAGTACTATTCAGAAGTTATTTAATATTATTGGGGGTTATTTGATATTATTAACATACAAAGAGCAAGAGTATCGAGAAAAGGAATGCCATGCTTGCTTCTTCCCCCAGTAAATTCAGAAAAGCATGTTATTTCCCAGCAGTGCTTTATGAAGGCCTCTGCTACATCTCTGCTAGAGAGAAACTCAGAGTCAGAACTACTATTTGTCAAGTGAAGGACAGGTCTTCCTTTGAGGTGGACTAAAGATATGATTTTACCTCAACTGGATTTTTATTTTTATGGTCACAATTTTATTTTTGCATTGGAATTGAGGATTTACTAATAAGGCAAGATGCCATAAATTCCCTTCATGGATCTATGCCTGAAGGAGATTATTTTAATTCAAAAGGTCAAATGAATGTCCCATGAAGCACCCTTTAAAACACTGTTTTTGATTCATTTGCTATGTTGTGAGAGAGCTCTGGTCATAATTAGCCTTTTTTGACTCTGGTATTTAATAAACACTGCTGGAAAACACCCATGTTTCTGAACTAAGGAAGAGCATCATTTCTTTGACCAACCCTTTAACAAATGGCAGCAAAGATAACCCAAAATACTCACGTTTTTCTTCAGCTGTATGAAGTAAAATAAAACAAGATAAAATCTATGAACAACTTTCAGACATCCCAGTGATCACTAAGCAATGCATTGGAATAGCAACATCCAGGCTGATACCAGAAAGAGGAGGCTGGAAAGCCTCACGGGAGCTCCTTTTTCTATTGAGGGACAGATTTCCTGCCATTGGAAAACCCTGGGGATGTAGTCACTATACAGCTTTCATTTTCTTTTCCTCTTTAAAACTTTATGTTCAGAATCTGCAAGGCATACTCTTTGTAAATGTGATTTTCAAACACCGATGAAGAGTGATGGAAACCCAAGGTGTTGGCTGCACGTAAATGGGGAAGCTCATTTGGTAAATTCTGTGGTAATACCGACCAAATAGCCATTTCTGAGACTATCCTACTGAAATAATCCCTACACAGGGGGCCTCCCTGGTGGCTCAAGAGGTTAAATTCAGCATAACACGAGTTTAGTCTTGGCCAGGGAGCTGACCCCCATGACGCAG